TAGCTTAAGTAACTGGAAATTTTGTTGCAAATGCCGATTTAAATTTGTCCGACAGAAATTCCTCCGACATTGACGTGTCTACCGGTCGAAACATGCCAAAATAACAGGGTATTGAAAATTAATTACCACATAGGTAATTTTTAGTAAATTTTCAATACCCTGTTATTTTGGCATGTTTCGACCGGTAGACACGTCAATGTCGGAAGAATTTCCGTCGGATAAATTTAAATCGGCATTTGCAACAAAATTTCCAGTTACTTAAGCTAAAAATAAAAGATGTGGTCTTGACTTTTCAAGACGTACCCCGGGAAATTGCCATGTTTTTGGACTTTTCCGAGTGGAAAAGCGGAGGAATCGAGAAAAGTCGCAGAGGAAAAATGTGGTAGACTCGTCAAAAGGATGCGCCTCAGGAGTTATAAAGTATGTGGTAATCAACTTTCCAGAGGGGGCCTGTACTGTGGACTATTACGAATATAGAGAAATTACGAATTTCAACCTGAACACAACTGATGTGGCTATTCTAGCAGATGTCGCGCACATTTTGTTAATGTGCCGGTTTTATAGCTTTCGCGAATATTTGGCAAATGCTTTTGAATGTACCATCCACACGATAAGGCATCTGTTTACATTTGACAAATATTTGGCAAGTGACCGCATCATCTGGAAAGGCTCAAGCTTGTAAATAAATATAAGTCGTGATTGAGGTTGTGATCCTCACATTTATGTATAAACAAGAAAGAACGTGATGATTACTTTAGTGTTGGCGATAGCACTACCATTTTTTTTAGCGTGCCGTAATCACGCGTTTTGTCTATAAGGCCTTAGTGTCGTTTATTTAGTAATACACTTGAATATTATACTTACCTGAATATTAAAAAATAAAGGAAGCATAGATATTGGTAAAGTATTGCCTCGAAGTTCATCAGCAGGGGAAAATTTTATAACGGTATCCAATAAATTTAATAGTATTGTTATCAAATGGAGATGTTTCTGAGGTAATTCCTGCTTGATTAGCCCTAGTACATCAGTAGCAACAACTTCAACTGGTATATTTTCATTATTATCTAAAAGAATATCAACGGATTAAAAAAACGTCTAAAATTTTTTATTGTTTATTATTTGTGAAGAAAATTTATTATAGATTCCTACATCAATTTTTAAATAGGAGTATATGGTTCCGTAGTTTTTCTGTAACGTAGTGTGGCAAAATGAAAATATCCAAAAAGAAAAATTACTTACAACATTTAATAAATAAATACGTTCAGACAATTCATCTCTGTAAGTAAAAAGGTGATTCTCTGACTAGACGGCTTAGTTTTCAAGATATATCTAACAAAGTAAGTACTTTATCGCTCTCACGTAACGGCCGATGAACCATGGGGACATTCCGACCCTGTATACAGGGTGTCCTACTAAGGTCGGCGAGGTACGACATTAGGGAAAGTATAGACGCTAGAACTTCAGGAAAAAAATTTTGAATAATAAATAGATCAAAAGAAATCGCTGGAAATAGTTTTCAAGTTCGTAGTTGGGCCGCTAGGGGGAGCAATCTATATACCAAAACATAAGAGTTGAGTTTTTCCCAGATTTTTTTTTCCTATTCAGGTATATTAAATAGTACAAATATGGATAGCCGGATTTATGGCCTCTCGACAGAAAGGGTGGGGAAAGCCCCTAATCTCGGTTCAGAAAAATGCATTATTTTAAGAATTTTGGCTCATCAAAAGCCCTTAGTGTTATATCGTTGGGAAGATCTTTTCATGCTTTATCTCGTGGTGAAGGCGTAATGTCATTTACCTCAATATGGAAACCTAAACATGGCGTTATTTCAAAAGAATGTCGTTTTATTTTTTCGCAAAAATTTTGAATGCAATGCTATAGTTTTCTTTACTTAAATGAATTTAGCACAAAAAATTGATGAATATAGTATAAGATTGAAACTAACGAAAGTGTTTATTTATTGGCGCTATTTATCCAAGTTTAGGTTGTTTCACGTTTTCCTAAAAAAAGCGAAATAGCAGGATAAAACTTTTTGTGGGTTAGTTTGAAGAACATAAAAGCATGCAAATGCAAGAGCATTTTGATGCCAAAAGGGTTCGATATATAATTTTTGTTATCAAGTTATTCGCAAATTAGTGAGCAAAAAATAAATAATGATAATGAATTGAGGAACACGACGCTAATAGATAAGGCGAAAACCTCGCATTCGTGGGAGAAATTTTCCGACTCGATTTTTTTGCATATTCAGATTCGTGAGATGTTCCTTAACATGAATCGAGATGATGCCGGCCGGAAATCTGTTGCCCATTTGTCTAAACAAATTGTAAAAATAGGTTTTTTCACTCCGGAAAAATATTTTTAGGTTTTTTTGTACATTATAAACAAAAAAGTTCCTATGCACTATTCATCTAAAATTTATAGTTTTAAAGTTATAAACAATTTAAGTTGCTAAAAAAGCGAAAATGACGATTTTCAACAGCCGATTTCCGGGTTAAAAATTGTAATTTTTGATGTAGCTAGGTACCTAAATTAAAGTTTAAACATCCCCCTACAAGATGCTGAAAAATTTTTGGGACTCTCATTATTTTAAAAGCCTTGTTTTTTAATTGTTAATAAAGTGCTATGAGCCGCGCGCGCGCCTCGTACGCGGATTCGCTATTTCGTCTAGCGGATTCAGCTTATGTTCTTTGAATTTAGCATTCTAAGTACTATTACTAATAAAATAATGTAAAAATTGATTATTTAAATTTCATAATTCATAATAATTTTATTTAATTAATTCAAAATTGTACGAATAGAGTGCAGAAAAAAATAAAAGGGCAATAGTATCAAATACATTTGATTTTTATTAAAGAACATTTATTTAATACTGCATATTATTATTTTCACACATTTATTCAATCATAAACATGCTCACACTGTTCTATGTTACAACCACATAAAGGTATACAAGTGACATAGTTTTTCCTACAAGAACCAGCTTTAGTCTTAAAGTTTCTTGTAAGTAGATACATTTACATTGTTTAACTAAGTCTTTGGGTAATGGATCTTTGGTAATAAATTTAGGTAATAATTGACCTGTTTCATTTGGTAACCAAAAGCTGTGAAATCCAAATATTGATATTATTGAGGAAAAATGGAACTTTTCCATATGTACGTTTGTAGAGAAGCTCTTAAGACGTGTAATTTCAATGCATCGGAAGGGCATGGTATTTTACTTAAATTAATACTCATTCCGCTACAATGAGAGAAAATTAATTTTCTACCTTCATTTAGGTATAATCTTTGCAATGCATCAAACTCTTCGTTGCTTAATTCAGACATAAAACATAAGCTGAAGCCGCTAGAAATAGCAAATCCGCGTATGAGAAGGGAGCGAGTCCCAAAAACTCTTCAGCATCTTGTAGGGGGATGTATAAACTTTAATTTAGGTACCTGGCAACATCAAAAATAACAATTTTTAACCCCGAAATCGGCCGTTGAAAATCGTCATTTTTGCATTTTTAGCAATTTAAATTGTTTATAACTTTAAAACTATAAATTTTAGAGGCATAGTGCATAGGAACTTTTTTGTTTATAATGTACAAAAAAACCTAAAAATATTTTTCCGGAGTGAAAAAACCTATTTTTACAATTTGTTTAGACAAATGGGCACCAGATTTCCGGCCGCCATCATCTCGATTCATGTTAAGGATCATCTCACGAATCTGAATATGCAAAAAAAACGAGTCGGAAAATTTCTCCCACGAATGCGAGGTTTTCGCCTTGTCTATAACGACAAGATATTAAATTACCAAAATAAAATGCGTTTATAAAAATAACCTACCTAAACCCACGCAATGAATCAATAAGAATTTTGAAAATAATAAAAACAATAACAAACATATATCTATTGATATTATGTAAAGAAAGAACAATTAAATTTGAACAAAAGTAAAGATGTTTATAAATGTTCGAAATGCATTCCATTGTTTCCAATGCAGGAATTTAAACTTCACTGAGTGTTTAGATTTTTACCTATTATCTTAATATGTCCTTCACTGAATTCAATTACTGTAAATTAAAAAAAAATCTCTCATTGGGTTCAAGATCTAGAGCTTACACAAATTCAGAAAACGTAGTTTCGAGAAAAACGCGTTTAAACACACATCTGTACATATAAAAGTCATGTGGAAACCATAAAAACCATAGAAGTCATTTAAATGTTGTTAATACAGCTATCTTCCGTCATTTATATCATTTACACTAATTTCGCAATGACAAAAAAATTCTAGAAAATCGAATAAAAACTTAAAAAGACATAATACATCGGTGTCCGGATAATCTTTTAACCGTGGATGGGGGCATGGCGCCATGGATGGGGGACATAAGGTCGTTCAGAAAATCGACTTCTGTTTTAGTACAAAGTCCCTTCGTTTTTCAGTTATTGCGGTTTTTATTTCGAAGTTTCCGCCATAGGTTACTTTATTGGTCACTACGGCCACAAGAGAACGTATTATCTTTCAGTTATGATTTAATTTTATTTAAAAATTATAGGATGATTGTCCAGTGGCCTTAACCCTAGGCCTACTCTAACCATAGTAAAATCTGGTACTAGTTATGTCGATTACGAGTATTGTAATAAATCATTACTGTAATAATAGCTTAAATGTAATTATTCTTACCGAGAACTAAAGCTTGTATCGAATCGGGAACCAGCGGTTTCTGTAAGTTAGACAAAAACAGATATAAAGCTTGGGCTGACTCCAGTCTCCAACCAGCTTCAAGCATTGTACGAATAGTCCTGGTTTGTCCCTTTTGTATGGCTGTCAGAATTTCTTGTACTACTCCTTGATGTACAGCAACTCCAACTCTGAACACCCAGCCATGTCCTATTAACTGCACATCTAGATGTAATATATAAAATTATAATTTTACGAAACAAAATATTGTTACCCTTACTCGATCTTAATGCTGTCACTAACTCTCTTACGGCTTCCAAACTAGCATCTGTAATTATATCTTTTTTTCCACACCATTGTAATCTATAAAAACACATTTTTGATGCATATATGATGAGAAACATGTTAGTTAAAGAGCCTACGTAGTGACAGATATGATAACAAAAAATACACTGCAGGTGATTTTTTTATTTCAGTTAGATTTTGGATGACACAGTTTTATAGACTAGGATCATCAACGCGTGCTCTAAAATTTAGCAGTAGATTGATCGATTAGTCTTCATTTAAATGTTGATGCAATGTAAAAATACATTTTTCTTAAATAATCCGTAGCCAATTTACTGATGAAAGAATGTCTCTAAATTCATGCAAGAAGTAATTTTGATAGAAAACACAGGTTTTTAATTAAAAATGATAAATTTATTAGTGATTCATAAAGTGAGTATACAGTACAGGGTTATGTATGGAATATCATATGGAGTAAATAGCCCCCACGGCTTGCTGGCATATGAGCACTATTTTGTCGAAATTTTCCTTGGCCCTTTTGCATAAATGCGGCTGAATTTCGTTGATACAGTGCTCAATTTCCTCCTTCAAGGCGTGGGTGGTCGTGGGCTTATTAGCATAAACTCCAAAGAAAAAAGTCCAACGGAGGGATTATCCGGGCGGCCAGTTCTAATCACCGAAGCGGGAAATTACACGACCAGAAAATGACTCATGCGTTAATTGAATTGTTTCTTGGGCTGTACTGCATGTGGCTCCGTCTCATTGAAACCACATGTCATCTAAATCCATATCTTGCAATGTAGGCACAAAAACCTGGACTATCATGTCGCGATAGCAAGCTCCACTAACTGTTATTGCCCGACCAGCCGCATTTTCGAAGAAGAATGGTCCGATGATGCCTCCAATCCAAAATCCGCATCAAAGAGTTACACGTTGTGAATACATTTGTTCTCAACAATGACAAGTGGGTTTTTCTAAACCCCAAATGCCACAATTTTGTCGATTAACGAAGCCATCAAGATGAAAACGAGCCTCATGGCTGAAGATGATTTTATACGAAAAATCAACATCTACTTGTTGTTCCATCCAACGAACTCTCTTCGCGCTGCGTGGTGGTCAGTAGGCTTCAGTTCTTGAGTCAACTGAACTGTATAATCATGAAGATGCCAAGAATATGCTGCAGAGAGCTTCTGGGAATGTCCAATTCTTGATCACGGTGCCGAATTGATCTTCCAGGACTCTTACGAACTGCTTCGATGTTTTGTATTGAAACTTATTTAAAGACAGCTGAAATGTTTAAGATCACTAAAAATCCATTCTCCCTGAATTTTTCAATTAATCCCTTTACAGTTGATGAAGTTAAATCGCTATTCGGGCCATATTTTGTACGAACATTACGAACTGTAGCTGCCAAATCGTCATTACTTTTTAAAATATTGCTCCACAATGAAAACGCGTTATTCTTTCGTATAGCGCCCCATTTTAATAACCCTGAACTGTCACGCTGTCTTTTTTTCGTTAGCAATATTTTACCGCACAAATTGCGCAAAATCCAATTCTTGCATGAATTTTGGGACACTCGATAGAAACCATGTATTAGTTTATTCAAAAAGATTAGTTATACTTTTTGACTTTTTAAATTTGTAAAACTTTATTTTAAATCTATAAAGCAATGTTGTTAAATAAAACCATATTATCTTCCATGTACATATCTATTTTAGGTTTTGCAAAACCTGTTATGTACAACATTGTTATGTATAAAACAGATTAATTGAAAAAATATAAATTCCAATTCTAGTTAGTTTTTGCCAGTCAATAGAAACAATATACAGGGAGGCCGGTAAGCGTCTATTATTCTCTTGGGAGCATATCGGGGAGGTCAATATGACACTAGTACTTCATATAATTTTTTTTCTTAGTCTCCCTCCTAACAGAAATATCAATCCCCAAAGGGGTAACTAGAGATTTACGTTTTGGGTTCAACGCAATTTATTTATTCAGAATTTTACATATAGTCTATTATTAATCTGAAAATAACAATTTTAGATACTTGAAGATTTGTGTTTAAAAAACGGTTCTCAGTTTTCACACTCTTTTACTTCGATAAAATGAACGGTTTTTGAGATAAACTGGTTTTTAAAACAATAATACCAATTAGTACAAGGGCCAACAACAACTAGAGTTTATTTTTTACAAATGATTTTCATGCATTTAATTTATTTAATTCCTATTATTATTTCTAATAAAAAAAATCTCTTTTTATTAGCAAAATTTGACAATTTTGTGTTATTATTTTCAGTTTAAATTCAAAATATCTCTAAAACATAGCATAACTATATAAAGAAAGTCCAAAAAATAATTAATGGCATAGCAATTTGAATTATTTTTTGGAAGCTTATTATTATTTTAAAATATGTAGATGCCCATGTCACGCCTCTTACAGCACCTTGATTGCATGTTCTTTATTTAAAACAAAAACAATATACGCAATATAATAAACAATTGTAGGCTTGGAATAAGGTCAGTAGAAATTAAATATACCTAAAACATTTTCAGCACAAAAATGTATAACAAATTTTGACTGATTAACTAAATTTATAATTTTTAATAAGTCATTAGTTGAGGGAAAAATAATATAAATATTCCTACTTCCTAACAGCATGGGTCCGTTCTTCCTTCGTCTTTGAGATTCAGGTTATTACTTTTTATTTTTTCGACTTTTTGCTTGAAATAATATGTATTTTAATGTTAAACATGACTGGATAGTTTTACCAGAGGCGTGCGTACAGACTGGCAGTGAAATCATTTTATAAAAAAAGATTGCACAGTTAGGTAAGTAGTTAAATACCTACTAATTAAAAATTAATTTCCCCCAACGTTATAAAAACTTGCATGATTAAATATTTTAATTATACACGGTGTTTCTTAAGTAGAGGTCAAAAATCCAGAGGCGAATCCTAAGGTAAAAAAATATGGGTTTTTGTTATATAAATGTGGGGTCTTAGGACAGCCATTGTCCAGCTACAGCGTGTCAAAAATGTAAAAAAATCAGTTTTTAATTTTTAATTTCTAAATAGTAAAGAAATAATTTAAATTATATTTATACAGGGTGGTCCTTAAGTAATTGTACATAGAAGTGTGATATATTTGTGACTTTAAAATATTACGATTTGAGCCAACTTGCCTTGATAAAATATTGATAATAAGAAAGATACAGGGTGTTAAAAGTGAAATTTCAAATTTATTTTTTGTAATAACTAACATTTTTGGACATTTATACAAAAAAATTTTTATCTGGGGGTTTTTTGGTATGAGAAATCATAATTTGATATCTAATTTAATGTATCTTTTAGAAGGCGCCACATAAGCCACATGTGTGGCATAAATGTACACTAAACTTTTTTGCCCATCAAGGTAACCCTCTTTTGAGAAAAAAATATTAAAGGCACGGCATTGTAAGAACAAATATGTATACTTGTTAACAACCTCTAAACTTAACGGTTTTCGAAATAATCGAATTTTAAAAATCGACTGCATAATTCATTTTTAATTCATTACGAGAAATATTAACGTAGAAGTCGTATACGCTTATCATGTTGCTGTTAAAATCATTCGTGACTTCCGTCTACTACGTTACTATTTCTCGTAATGAATTAAAGAATTATGCAGCCGATTTTTAAAATTCTATTATCTCGAAAACCGTTAAGTTTAGAGGTTGTTAACAAGTATACATTTTTGTTCTTACAATGCCGTGCCTTTAATATTTTTTTCCCAAAAAGAGGGCTACCTTGATGGGCAAAAACGTTTAGTGTACTTTTGTGCCACACATGTGGCTTATGTGGCGCCCTCTAAGAGATACATTAGATTAGATATCAAATTATGATTTTTCATACCAAAAAACCCCCAGATAATTTTTTTTTTGTATAAATGTTCAAAAATGTTCAAGTTATTGCGAAAAATAAATTGTGAAATTTCACATTTAACACCCTGTATCTTTCTTATTATCAATATTTTATTAAGGCAAGTTGGCTCAAATCGTAATATTTTAAAGTCACAAATCTATCATACTTCTATGTACAATTACTTAAGGACCACTCTGTATAAGGCCAGTTTTTTAAATCCTTGATACTGCTATCCAAACCGAAACATAGACCTGCAAATAATGTCATTTTTTCTGTAGGCGATTTTCTCAAGACTATTTTTTTTTTAAATAAAAGTACCTTTTCAATGTTGCTGTCCATACGATCGCTGTAAAAGTTTTGACCGCTAAAAGGGAGAGGTAACCGGAGAAAACTACCCCTCAGTATATCCAACCAAAAAATTTTTATTTAACTTTTTTTGTAGATCATATTTATTTATTGTCGTGAATATGCAGTCAAACGTTGTCGGTGAAATTGGCGGTCACCCTGTATAAATGCAAGGTGCCATAATTATAGCCATGCGTTTAACGATGGGGATGGGATTAGCGACGGCGATGGGGATGGCGTTGGGGATGGGGAGGATGATGGCGTGATGACGGTGGAGGGAGGTGATATGGGGAGAACGATAGGAATGGTGATGAGGAATTCATACAAAATTTATCCAAGTTATCCTTAATACCTATACAGGGTGTCCCACTGGGAATTGCGTGAATCAATATTCAGGAAAATACTGCTTTGAAAAATTTGAAAATTCGGCAACATGTCAATGTCCCTAAGGCGAACTCAACTAAAATATCTAGAACTTCCCAGCACTTCTGGTTAGTCGACTACAACTTTGTTATTTGAAATGGGACACCCTATACCCTACGTGAAATTTAGGGGTCACTTTATTAAATATTCCCTGTACCTGTGTGTTATAGATTTTGAGACATTTATTTTTAAAGAAAAAATTTGACAGATGCAAGGGTACGCTGAGATGCTAGTTTCTCTTTTCAGGAGAGCGATATCAAACGGATTTTTGGTACCTTTAAAGGGAACAAGTAACACTACATTATGGTATACCAACAAATTAAAACATTCAATACTAAGTGTTTTGATTTGATTTCGTCAAATCGTCGAGCATGCTACATTTAACGTAAGCGAAGTTTGTTTGTGGAA